CTCTAGCTCATCACGACAGGTTTGATCAGGCTGTCCAAGCCACGATTTCCTCGGTCGTCCCACAGGCCTCCTCCACCCAGGGTTGTCTCGAACAGAGACAACCTGGTGGGCAGGTTCATCCTACGGGAATCGAACCAAGTGGCTGTATAGCCTGAGTTGGCGATCGCCAGGTTTCACTACCATATAGTAAAACTGGCAGTATCAGGGCTTTGAGGATACGTAGCTTGGTCCTTTTGCAAAGGTACCAGCATCTCCAAATACACTTTTCGAGATATTTCATGCCAATCCGTCGACTGACTTCCTGGTCTGACAGCCCAGAGTTATGAACTGTACTCTATGATCTCGATGTTTTCACCACAAGCAAGTACCGACTGCTCAGGGTCTCCTAGTAGGCCCCCAAAATCCTGGATCTTTGTCTTAGTCCAGGAGACCTGAAGCCCCAGGGGCTTCGCTTTACACACACACACACACACATGCATGCATGCACGCATGCATGCACACACGCACGTACACACACGCACACGCACACACACACAGTTGTGTATAATGTAGGAGTATGTATGAATATCATATACATAGAAGCATATGTACCTAGGGCATTTGCGGGAGAACAACTGTGTCTGCACTAGGTGTACATATGGATAAATGAAATCAGTGTATAAAAATAATCACACATAAATGCACTTATGCGTATACTCTGTAGTAGTGATGAGGCCCATGCTTATACTGCTCATAAGTCCACACTAGACAGGACCAATGCTTACTGGAGGCCAGTAAGTTCAGCTGTCTACCTCTCAATCAAAAACCATGACTGCACAAACAGAACAATGGCCCTCATTCCCCGGAGGCGAAGGAGCCCCTGGTTACAGCGGCGATCAAGATCGCTCCGGAGTAGAGGGTGTTAAAAATACCTGGTTAAAAACAGGCCGCCCCACGTTGATGAACCTTTTCACATACAATGTAAAGACTGAAAACTGAATCCGACTTACCAGCATTACTTGAGGAACTGTCATTCATTAAACGGGATGTTATAGAAGACTAGGCGAAGAATAGAAAATACTAAATGGCGGAGAAGTAAACCCAAGGGAACAAGCAGGAATTGGCGGTGGGGTTCTTAGTTCACAAACCTTAGAAAAGAATATTATGAAATTCTATAGCGTAAGCGAAAGAGTGGCTTCAGTAACAATAAAACTAAACAATAGGTACAACTTAAACAATGCTCAAGTCTATGCTCCAACCTTCAGTCACAGTGATGACGAAATAGAAGCTTCTATGAAGATGTTAATGTAGTCAGCGAGAGAGTAAAAACCAACTTCACAATAATTATGGGAGATTTTAATGCCAAAATAGGTAAAAAGACTGAAGGAGAAACCATAGCGGAGAATCATGGAATAGGCACTAGGAATGAAAGGCGACAAAAGCTAGTCGATTTTGCGATCACTCAATATCATTAACATATTCTTTGAAAAAACACTAGATTGGAAGTAGACTTAGAAGTCGCCATCTGACATCAAAAATGAAATTGACTTTATAATCTTAAATCGATATAGTAAAATAGTTATTAATGAAGTAAATGTCAGCAATCATAGAATGGTCAGAGGCCAAATTAGATTACACGTCAGAAGGGAAAGGAAAAAACTCATACGAAAACCACAGCCAAATTCAGCTAACTTGAAAACCAGAGCGACGGAATATGATATTAACATCCAAAACAGATATTCCCTTCTCAGTGACGAAGATCTCAACATTAACCAAATCAACAAACAGTTCAATGACATGATAAAGGAAGCTGCACTTGAAGTAGGGAAAGCAGCAAGCTCTCAATAGAAACTAAGCCGCTTATGCATAAACGTAGGGTTATGAAAGTATAGTCAAACAGGGACAAAATAGAATTAATTAAACTAACAAAGGCTATAAAAAAGAAGACAGATGGTGTACGGAAATTCAATACTCAAATAATAAATGAAACTGTGATCTTGGGTATCAGCATGAAAATAGTTAAAAGGAGACATGGAATAGGAAGAAATCAAATGAATGCAATGAAGAAACCAGATCGAGAAGTGATATAATAAGAATGAAATCATAAGAGTAGTGGAAAACTTTTACAGGGATCTATACAACTCAGATGAACAGCTACGGATTGAAGCGAACGCGGTAACTAGAGACGTAGCTACCACCACAAGAGAAGGAATAAAAAAGAGCCCTTAAGGCATGAAGAGAGGGAAAACACCAGGTGAAGACAGAATTAGTATAGACTCTAGCCAATCTTTTTAACAGATGCCTTCTCAATGGAAAAACTGAAAGTCTGGAAAAATGCAACAATTATTTTGATACATAAAAAGGTTAGAGAAAGGATCTAATAAACTACCGACCTATAAGCCTCCTTTCAGTTCAAACTTTTCAAAAGTCATCACAACTTGCATCTCTGACATTCTGGATTCTAACCTGCCTAGAGAACCACATCCACACACTCACCCAACTAAGAGAAAAAGATAAATTAATATAGGAAACCTGTATATGGGATTCATCGATTACGAACAGGCATTTGACTCCTTTGAATTCATTTCGATCAAGTACATTTACAAAGCGAAGTGCTAGAGGTAGTGGACAATCAACTTGTACAGACAAAGCTTCTGGGCTAGTAGCATACTAAGAAGCTCCTTGCCATTATGTTTAAAAAGAAGAGTATTTAACTAATGCGTCCTCCCAGTTATGACCTATGGATAAAAAAACATGGATTACAACCAGATTACTGGAGAGGAAACTAACAAGTGCCCATAGAGGGATGGAAAGGTTGATGCTGGGAATCAGCCTAAGAGATCGGATGATTGCG